CAATTTCTTTATATTGCAAAAAACAAACCATACTGTAAAATAGTAACTATTTTATGCATCATTATGATTTAAAAATTTTTTTTTTCAATTTGTTCAATTTTTGTTATACTGTTCTTTCAGGCCTATTGTTTTTTTAATTTGTCATCCGATCTTCTGGCTTTATTCCACTCCAATTATTATTGTATTATTCATTTTAACCTCCTATATTAGTAAAAGTGGACCAAATAATTTGCTCTTGGTTGGGTTTTGGAAATATTATTTTGTTCAGCAATAAAATAAATATTTATCATTCTTCTAAACTATTTGTTCAGGCCTTAGAAAAAGAGTTCGAATCATCGGTAAAGAAAAATGATTGTGAAGTGCAGGAGTGGACAAAAAAGTATGTTTATTGGGTGACTTCGTTGACACCTAGCAGAGATCCAATTGAAATGCTTGGGAAGTTTATGAGTTTAAAGAATGATATTCAAAACATTTATATTGGGCATTCAGAGCACTTCCCAAATTGCTTTCATCCTCCCATACAGGAAAAAGACAGGAAGAAATGGCGAAAAAAACCAGTTATAAAATATAAGCTTATAGCAGAGGTAATCTAGTTGTGGAGCAGTGGGAAGAAAGACCTACAACTCTCCATTCCACAACTCAGTTCTCCACTACCACCTGTTCATTCAGCATTTAGCATACCAGAGAAAGATGTAGCAATAGCTAAACATCTTTCAAGATTTAGCAGTCTCACGTAAATAAGAATCGCAAACCAAAAGGCTCTTTTCAGAGCCATTATTTAACAAAAGAGAAGGAGTTGTATAGTCTGTGTGTTTTTTTAAAATTTCATTTAATTTGTTCACTCACATAATACATAATAACAAAACAAAAAAAAAAGAATAATATTACTTTACATAATAAATGTATGGACATTAAGAGGCCAAAATAAGTTTAGAATCAAACTTTAAGCCATGACCACCAGTTAAAATTATATTAGGCATACATCAATAAAATATTATAAATACAATTTAATAATAAATAAATAATAAAGTTGAATTAAGGCAGTGTGTCAATTATTCATTAATTTGGCCAAAATGTCAAGTTTACAAACAAGCACATAGCAATTATAACACTACACACTACAGTAATTATTCGTAGAAGTCTTATGAAGATAAGCCTATCCAATCACTCAAAATTTTAAAAGAATCGTACTGATTCACAAATAGAATCCTGCAGCGGTGCCTAAATGCATTCTTCATTAGAATCAAATTGATGATGGGTGACGATCATTTTGATTCAGGACTAGAATCAAATAGGTATGAACTGTGATCCTGTCATATAATCAATATGATTGTGTCACAGAATCAAATTGATTCTACAATAGAATCAATACGATTCTGTCACGATATCTAAAATGATTATATGATAGAATCAATGTGATTCTGTAACAGAATCAAATTGGCTATCATAGAACCATTATGATTCAATCACAGAATCAAAGTGATTCTATCTGAGAACCACTTTAATCATGTCATGAAAGTAGATGAAATTTACTTTCAAATACCGTGCGAACCCATAGGAAAAGTTACTACACTGGACAACTGTGGCCGAATTTATCCCATTGTGTGCAAAATTCTAGGCTCTGTTCCTGTGCTTAACGGCGTGTGCGTGGGCGTGGCAACTCAGATGCGACAAAGTTTTCCATATGTATATCTCAAAAATGCAGTAAGTTTTGTTATGTAGAATATGTGTGAAAATATTATGTCTAGCATGTCTGCAGATGAAGAATGTAACCAACTTCACGGTGGTAAAAGTGATCCCTGATTGAATATCCCATTTTCGAATTCATCTGAAAAAACACACAAAGATTAGAGTATTTCAACAGTTTATTACTTTTATTAACATCAAATAGCTGAGTGCGCTATAACCATTTGGAAAAGTGGTAATACATACATACATTGCAGTATGCATTATTGATGGTATTCTATAAAACCTCTATGTAGAATAGTCCAAACACAAATACAAATGTTTAAGTACAAACTCCAGTAATATTAGTTCCACACAACACAGCATAACAAACTTATTCAGCAATATGGATCAAATGAATGGTAGTGCAAAATATAACTGCTATGATATTTTCCCAATTCAAAATTACATAGAAATAACATTTGTAAGTATAACACAAACACAAGCTCCGTAGTTTAGTGGTTTTGGCAACAGGCTAGTTACCTGGATTCTCACCCAAATAAAATTTTTTTTGCAGGTGGGTCACCTACATATCTATTGCTAATTACAGGTGCCTAGACCCAAGTAAATTTGACAAGCAGACTACTAATTATGTCATTATTAAATTTACATAAAAAAAAAAATTGCTAGTTATTTGGACAGGTATCAAAAGCACAAATTTAGATAAGTAGACTGGAGCCACTATCACTGCTGCCTAGATCTACAGCGAAATTTGTAAAGCACACTCCATAAATTATCACCGAGATGCAGGGAAGTATGCCGGTGGTGGATAATTAATTTATTAAAGTATAAATCTTCAATTAAATATTATTTTAAAGCAGATGGATTTTTTTAAATGTTTGGTTATTCGTCCCAAAAGGGACAGCAACTTCGGGGTCGACTTTAATTGATCGTCGTGACCCACCAATACCTTTTGGATGAAGGTCATAGTCACTCCAATTTTTGGAGGATAGGCAATGTTAAACACAAAATAACAGGTTATCAGTAGGGCAACAGCTTCAATAAAAGAAGATACCTCCCCTAGAATCTCTTCTTCTGCCAATACAGAAAATTGCTTACAGTCAAAGAGCGGACCAGTGAACACAATCACATGGAATGTCTTCCTAGAAGCTGTTCCCGGTTCTTCATGAATTAGAAGCTTGATATCTTCGTTTAGTTGAAATGGAAGACTCAAAATCCCCAAACAGTGAGCAGCATCTGCCATGAAAAAGTTACAAATGTGAACTAAAAATGTAATTAGAAAAACAGATACAATAATAACAGTGATCTTTTAGTAAAGCCCCAACATTAATGTAGTATAAGCTTCTGGTAATCCAGTGGTCACAAATTTATTAAACTACAATGTCTCAAATTATTATTTGGTCCTTGTACAATATGTAAATTGTAGGCATTCAAGTGGATTCATAAGTTTAAACAGGCCTATCATATTTTTTTTAAATATCTGTGGCGAGAAGAGCACTCAAAATAAAATTAAAAAAAAAAATTACTGCATGTGTGCTTACATTTTCGATCATCGTCATTGTCAACCTCCAGCATTTTTTCCTTCATTTCAGTAATAATTTGTGCTTGCTGCTTCTCAAATTTCCCTCTCGGCCTAGGCAGTCGTGATAGGGGCAAAAGATATGTATCTGTCCTACAGTTTATCTCATCTTTTGCATTACGGCCAGTGAGTCTCACAAATTCTGCAAAAAGCTGAAACAAAATGCTGAAGTTCAGATCAGATGCATCCACAAACATACTTTTTAAAAATGAAATCCACTTATTTAGAAGTTAAATTTAAAGGTCTCTCACTTTCAGTAATGGGATAGTGTTCATATTTCAAAATAGGTGTTGATAAATGTACCGCAGATGATGGGCTATAGCCAACAAAATGAAAATATTGGGAGCACTTTGCAGAACTGTGGTTCCTATGGAAAATGGACACACAAAATGAAGAAATACTATAGAAGAGTTAAAAAAAAGACTTAAAAAGACATACACTTGTTGGCAATATTATGAAGATAGTACCATACCGTAAATAAATGCACAAAATGAGAGTATATGAAACACAAATGTTTAGGGAAAGTAGAGGAAGACATGAGTCAAATTTCTACAACTGATGTAAACTGCCAGGAGCTGTCAACTACTAAAGTATTCAGGACTGAAGCTGATTGGGATACACAATTCGTAACTCACATCACAAACTAACACAATCAAAGTGGATTTTGTTAGTTTGTGCAATTAAAAATTGTGCCAAAAATGCGCTGTTGCTGTTATGGACTTTTCAAGTGGAAAAGAATAAAAATATGCGCTCGTTTAAACGCACTTCTTTAAATTCACAATTTACTTTGACAGTACAGTTTGTGATGTGAGCGACAAATTAGTCAACGTCGATATAAAGGCCAGGACACAGAGAGGATATATTATCATATGTGTAATGAATTAAAATATTTATTGGTGTTAATACTTTGATAATTCATAACAAAAATCAGTGACAGTTGACATCTTTGAAATTATCACTGATTTGAAATCATAAATTACATGTACCTCATCTGAGTTGGACAACAAAGGGTACTTGGTCTTCAATACGGCTATTGATTCTGGTGCCAGGATATCCCCTCTTCTGTCAGGATAGGTCATGTTCATACGAAAGGATATGTCTTTATCATTGCGTTTCTTAATTTCTAGCTTAGACTGTTGTTGTAACCAATTAATATGACACTAAAAAACAAAATGTTTTTACTTCATTACCAGGAAAAAAACACAATAGACAAGCTGAGATAAAGACAAGAAGAATACAATAAATGTTTCCGTGGTTACATAACAAAATACTGCACTGCCCTGCTATTCATCACTAACTTAACAGCCTAGGCCCAGTTGAGTCATAGCCTGGGAACGTCGTGGGCCTTCATGACACAGTTGCTGTACACATTCAAAAGTATCATTCCCCACCCCCAACCCGGGAAATCGGGGGAGGGGGGGCGATCATCCCCCTCCCCCACCCCGGGAAAACGCGGGATGATAGCCGACCGGCACCCCAAAAAGCTGGTGACATCCCTACACACGAGTATTAGCGTGCACCATCGAGGGATTATTGTGCACACTGCACATTCCCTTCTGTCTGGGCTCCCCGCTGGCTCCGTCATTCATCATCATTCATAGCCTGTTACACAGCAGTACTTAGGCCTAGGCCCTAGTACTAGCAGCCTCTCACCCTATAGCTAGGCCTATATTTTATAGGCCAGGTCTTATGGACGCTAAACTTAGATCACAGTATGAATATTAGGAATATTAGGCCTAATTATTAAAGTAGAACTAAAATATTCGTTTTTCTGTAGTGCACTTACCAATGAACAGCAGGACGAACAATCTTCGAATGCACCAGGCAGCTCGTTCCCCCTTCGAAAAAAAAAGCGCGCATATCTTGGCTCCCAGCCATGGGCGCGCACCATACGGGTTCACAATGCGTAATCGGGGTCACGTCTGCTGATCATCGATCTGAGCTTGGGGTAGACTCAAAATCAGAATTTATGGAGATAGAATGATTCTCATATAGAATACACGAGGCAAGATTCTATTTGTGAATCAGTATGATTCTTTTAAAATTTTGAGTGATAGTGACGTTAAAGGGTCAAAACCAGGACATAACTCCGACTTTAGATTGACAATGATCGAAAAATGTTAAATACAGGCACAATGTATACATCCTATGTACAGAGTCCAGTTAGAATATGTAATTATGCATCAAATTGATATATTATTATTACTATTATTATTATTATTATCATATACATACATATATTACAAATATATATTTGAATAGTTTCGTATCATATAAGTCATATAATTCAGCTTGTCAGATGGTCTTTAAGGCACAATGCTACACCACCTTCGTTAGACCCACACTTAAATATGCCTCTGCCGCTTTGGCTCCTCACACACAAGCCAATATCAATATACCTGTTTATATACAGTATACAATTTGTATTAACAAAATAACATTATTTAATTCAAAATTTGAAAAAGATGACATTTATCAACTTTATGATGTTTTAAGAATTCCGCATGAAGGGCGATGCAAAAATGGATCCGTATTTGATGGAATCGAGGCATTTTGTATGTTTTTTTTTATCGTTTTGCGTATCATGTCGATATGCAGACATGGTTCCAAACTTCGGTCGGTCATAACAGAG